AACTGTCATCCAGAAGTATGCTCAGATTTTTTACTAACTAATAATATAAAACTAAAGTACTGCTCAGTCCATTAAAATCAGCATACCTAGAAAGCATTTTCTACTTGTTAGAGGTAGATCTAGTTACAGTGCACATCATTTACACTAAACTTGAAATACGAGGAAATGGCTGAAAAGCGATAATTGTTAATAAACGATTAAAAAAGGAATTTAAATTTCGAAGTTCTGATACTGCTAGTCCAAATATATTAATAGTACTTGATAGGACAACTTTCGTAATTAGCAGGAATTTTTTGTTCAAGAATAATAAATATGTTTTGATATTCTGTATTTAAACTAGGCGCTTGGTAACAATTAAGGAGTTTATTGGAATCGGAAGCTTTTGAAACACTCTCTCTCTTTCTATGTTGGTCTGCTTGGCATAACGTCTACCTCTCATCTTGACGAAGTGTAACTGAAAAAGTTGGTTGCTCAATGACAGATGTGTAGTATAGAGAAACTCGACATCATTCAGAGAGGAAATAGTATATTAAACTCAATTCTGAGTTTCTACTGCTAGTTTAAATCTGATATATACATTAAAATGGTTGTAGGCAGCAGCTAATTTTTGAAAGCTGTGATATTCTGAAATTTAAAGATTACGCTATAGAAATTTAAATTTTAAATAAAATCGATTATTATTTGTATTTATTATGAATACTGCTGAAACATATTGTATCATGCAAACTGATCGTATCGGTCCAGAATATCTAACAACGCAAATGAGTTATATTCGCACAATGAACATAGTTTTTGTTTAACAATTTATTCATGGCAAACCGAAATTCCGTATTTTTTCACAGCGTAATGTGCAGTCAAGCTTCAATTTTTAAATAAATATGATTTGTGAAATACAATTTAAAAAGTTGGAAAGTACAAAAACAAATAACAAGTTCTGTTATAATAATTTACGATAAAGGCCGCAAATGGCCAGTCATTAATGAGTGACGTCAAATCTCAATATCAAATATTTTTTGAGAGCTAGAATATATTTATAAAAACAGAAAGAATTTCAAAGAATAATTGTCACTTTTTTTTAATTATAGTACCCTACACCTCTGCATATAGAATATGGAAACAAAATCATGTATGAATAGTTTTTATCAAATATATTAATGTCATCGAGTTCAATGGTCAAGCGGTTTAAATATCAAACGACCAGATGGGCCATTCTGTTGTTGTTAGTGACTGACAACTTAAGAACATATCATTTCAATTATCAAAGTGTATATACCTATATCTTCATTAATATGCTGAACAATTCACAATATTTGAAGTCGATTAAAAGTCGATGTCAATAATTTTAAGAAATTATTGTGTTTCAGTAGTACGATTTCTTAAAGGAAATATTGTGTGTCATAATTGTTAAAATTAATTAATAATTAAGTCATTTAAATGATCGTCAGGTGTTCTATTACTAAAACTATTCTTAGTAACTCAAACAATTTCGCATTTCAATCCTACACACAGTACTAGAATTATGTTGTTCAGTTAACTCTTAAAATTTTAGATATTCTTACGAACTCACATCTTTAGAAACTGTGTACAAGTACATCTCAATTTTTTTTATAGAGTTCCTTGCACATTAAATCGATTTTCCAAATATATTAAAAAGTTATAAATTAATATTAAAACTTCACAACAGCCATTAAAACTTAAAAATATGATGAGAATAAGCATACACCGTTGAAGTTCCTTCACATTACCTTATTGGCAAATATACTAAATCTTAGTAAAGATGAGGTGCTGATGCATTGTCAAGCTGATAAAGACCTTAAAAGGACGAGACTAAAACTAAATCCAAACAAAGCCAAATCCGATCATTTTCTACTATAATATTCAGCGCTAACATAGATTATAAGCAAAAGGAAAAAGCGAAAAAAAAGTAAATGATTATTAAAACAATACTTGAAGCAGATAGTATTAAGAAAGAATGAGTAGAGCTATACAATCCCTTCAAAATAGAAATTCGTATATATTGAGGAGTTTTATCTAAATTTGAGAAATAAATATTTTTGATTTTATTTTTTGTGGATACTGTGACACAGCTAAGCCAAAAGAAAAGAACACAAATTTTTGAAGACCTTATATCGTTGGGTTAAGAAATCATGCGTCAAAGCCGTTTTTTTTTTCGAGGCTGGGGAACAAGAAATGTCTTCACACACCTGCAAAAACGTCTTTCTGTGGGTAGAGCACGGTTCGCCGTATTGATACTAAGGAAGTTAAAAGCAGTTTATTTGATGCTAGCAAAGTGACATTCAAATGTAATATTTCAGAGTATTGAGATTTTGGAATATGAGTCTGATGGTATCTAAAATATTGTTCACATCAGAATAAACTCACACAAATAAAAAGTTACAACAAAATGTGTTTACCAATTTTAAGAAAATTATGTTTACAAATGATAGTTTCGTTACAATTGGTCTAATATAAATTTCATATAAAAAATTAATTGGGTGTTTACTCGTAGAATTCTTCTTTATGATACCAATCATTTATAATGTTTCCCATGTTATGAATATGGAAACAAAATAATGAAAACAATTTAATAATATTTGTTAATAATATGCTAAATTGCTACAATAATCTATATATATCAATTTAAAGTTACAAGATACGAAGCTTGTTGAACAGCTTTCAGACTGATAAAGGTCTGTTATATTTTGACTTTCAAGAAAGTCTTTAAAAGTCCATTGATCTCTTTGGAAACGCATTTTATATTTATATACAATTTTATTAAGATATTATAAAACATATATACCTTCTTCATCTGTACTCAATATTATAATATGGTATGGCCCCCTTTATTAAATTTTAAAGCATAAAAAAATAGACTACAATTGTCTAAAGATATAATTTTTCATTTTATTTATATTAAATCAAACCCACTAGAATTTTGTCAGTTGATTTGATTTGTGTATAATTCAACAAAATTTTTAAAATTTAGTTAATATATTTCGATCATAAAATTTATTTCACTTTTTTGTTCAAGTAATTTATAAATTTTTATGCAATAGTATTATACAAATAACTTTACTTATACAAACCGTGACAATGATTTTGATTATTTTAATAAAAAAAATTGATTGATAGCAACCAAAATATTTCTTCTTATCTCGGTAAGTCAGTTGTTGCTTTTGAAGTTTTTTAAAATTATTTGCTATATTTTACTACGTAGAAAATCCTTGAAATATAATACAATCACTAAATTTTATAAATATACCCCCTATAACATCAGCTAGAATATTTTGTAATATATGTATATTGTATATATACATATATGTAGGCCAAAGGTTGCTGCTTATATTCACGATTTTAAGGAATTTCGTGAAATGTTATATATAGTCATTATTTATTATTGAATAAAAAATTTTATTAATTAAATTGTAGCGTAATTTTTACAATATATATATAATCTATTCATTTTTGATACTATATTCTATTTATAACGACACAACTTTTCGTATAAGCTAAGAATGCCTTATTGCGATAAGGTTCACTCGCAAGATCTATTATATTTTTTAGCAACTCATGAGAAACTAATTTACGTTAAATATAGTCAGAAGTTAATATACGTACTCGTATATTACTCAGCAGTTTACACTGTTTAGAGTGCAATTATACCTACTTGAAAATTCCCATCATATGGTGATAAAAAATTTAAAAAAAAAACAATAAAAATTCTAAATAAATACAACTAATAAAAATGATAAAAATTTAAAGATTACAGTCACACGCCATATCAACATTCAATTACGACAATTTTTTCATATCAGACCTCTTCTGACAGCTGCGAAATATGAGGAATATTAACTTGTTACTTCTTGAAGTTTTTTGCTGAATAATGATAATAATAATGACTTCCTTATAGAAAACTTTAATTAAATTAATTAATTGTTTTTTGTAAACAATTCTTACACATCATTATTAAAATTTTATCATTGGATATAAATAATAACTCAACTCCGAATCTTACCCACTTAGCCTCTTTCTTTGAACTTTTAATACTAGCAAATATGCAAGATTTTTAATTACTACTAAAATTGCCTTCAAAATTGTTTTAATAATTTAGTAAGAACTATGACATATTAAGTTCGTAACCCATTAAAAGAAACCTAAAAGCTAGCTGTCCGAAATTTGTTTTAGGACCAAACCTAATTGTTTGTTTACATTTTCAAGCTTTCACCTACATTTAACTCACCCAAAACAGTTTTCAGAGTAAAATTATTTCAATTTAATGAATCAAAAATATTAATTATAATGTATACTACATATATATGTATGTATTTACATTTTCTATGTACATGTTTTCTAATATGTGTATACTTAACTAAGAGAAATCATCACGCAGCTATATACCATACATCAAAGAGGTTACAGAGAGCGATATTATATAAACTATTTACTTAATAAAAATATCTGAGAGTTAGTATTATCGAGAGTCAAACAAGTATAATTACTGAACTACTGAATGGAATGTAAATAATCTGAAATAGAGACAGACTTTTTAAAAATATAATTACTGATTGAAACAAGTTTTTAGTTTTTTTTTTTTTTCAAATTATTATTTATTTTAATATTAATTTTTTATATAAAATTGTGAAATAGAACTTAATTAATCAAAATATTAAATTGATTGTAAAACTATCAGTAAAGAATTGGTAATTTTCTTACTGTTGGATATGACCGAGGTTTTAGAATTTAGGTGACGAAGGTATAAAATTATCAATGTGACTTAGTGCGATATCTTTAGATTATTTTCTAGAAATCTATAACAAAAAAAACTAAAATATATCGCTCTATTATTATCGACAACTTGATATTCGTTAACTAATTGATAAGATTTATAATCACTAAATTGTTTTTGTTATTCGTTGAAATACAACTAAATTTCTAAGATTTCACATTGCTTAACATGTGGAATATTTTGACGTACGGTTCAGTATATATAAAAGCGTTGAACTGTAAAGTCGTTTTATGTAAAAAAAAAATATATTCTCCAACGTGAAATTTTTTTATTTGAATTGAATTTATGGCGACCACAACTGAAACTTATAATGACGATGAATTGACACCGCCAGAATTTCTAACTATTGAATTTCTGACAGAGGTGATCAAACATTGTGAAGCTGATGAGAATATAGTAGTGACAGACTTGAAACTTACACCAGGTACAGCCAAAGGTGATCACTATGCAAGTGTTATGTTTAGAGCTGTGGTAGAATATAAGCAGAAGGGAGAGACGAAAAAAAAGTCAATGATTATTAAAACAACGCCCGATGCCGACGGCGTTAAAAAAGATATGTTAGAACAAACAACTGTCTTTGAAGTGGAAATTGGCATGTACACTAAAGTTTTGGATAAATTTGAGGAGATACTGCGAAGTATTGGAGATGATACAGTATTAAAAGCTAAGTAAGCTTCGAATCCAAAAACAAAAAGCTACAAAAAATGTTTATACTTGTTTTTAATATTTGCAGATGTTTGTATCATAGCTTGAGCCCCAAAAAAGTAATCATTTTTGAAGATCTTGTAACTTTGGGTTACGAAGTAGTGCGAAAACGCCCTCTTGATATTAATGAATTAAAAGCAGTTTATTCAAAGTTAGCAAAATGGCATGCGCTGAGTTGTAAAATTGGATTCGAGGTATGAACTAACGTTTTACTATTAATTTTTTTTTTATTTGTATGCAAAAGCATTAAAAATTAATTTTTTATATAAAGAAAAACATATACAAACGGGTTTAAAAAAAAAATATTATATTAAAATTCCCAATTTCTTACAGTAAAAGTTAAGCTGTACAATGTTGCCGATAATGAAAAATGTTATCACTTCGCGCCCATTATTTTGAATCTCTAAGCTTTACAAAGAATTTGATAAACAAATCTATTAATTAACTTGATTGAATACTTACAAAAAATTTATACTACCTTTATTCCTTCTCTTCAATACTGAAACGTAGGAGTGTAAGAGTGAAATGAAAGAGTGACTCACAGTGTAGAACTTTTTGGACAAATTAAGTGAAACATTTTTTTTGATGAAAAGTAATACAGTTTTCCTAATAAGGTTTTATAGCAGTAAGCATATGCAGGGTTCTAGATAACTGCATTTTTTGAGGTGGTTTTCACGATTTATTGGCACTAACCTGACAATAGTTCGGCCATAAGTAAAGGACGTTTAGTTTCAAAGCATCGACAATCCTAAGATGGTTCTCATAAATATGATATTTTACACAGCCTTACAAAAACTAAGTTAGTCTTGACAATTGATGTATTATTAATAGATTGGTAGAAAATTCCCATCACTAAAATAGTTATGCGGAAAAGTACTTGTGCAACATAGTCCAACAGGATCCTTATGACAAGGTGACACCTCCTGCTAAGAGCATATACAATTCACAACCATATATTCAAACAAATGGATGAAACATTCAGAATTTACCGCTTATATCACATCCACACCATTTAAAATAACAGGCCTATCGCAACTATAGATCATATGCCACTTCATCAAACGACCTTTTGGGAACTTAACGATCTTGCGACAGTTACTCTTATATATCTATATATATGTGACAATTTTGTCTGTGTCCGTCTCCACCAATCGAATAATCATGGTAATGACTGTAATTAATTTTAACACGCTTGACGATTGTTACAGTTCGATAATTCAAAATAACAATTCATAAACTAGATTTACAATGGATTTTATAAAAATTCTGTTCGCCTTATGTCACAGCAATGGTCAATCAAAACCACAAATGGATAAATTTTTGATACCAACTACGCACTTATTTCAGCTTCAATGACTATAAATTTATTTGACAAACTGATTTTACAGTTGGGTTCACGCACAAAATGTAGCTAACATCTTTCATATATTAAATCATTAGATAATTATTCCTCTTGTAATAAATAAACAAATTCAATTTTTCGCGTTATTTGTTAACTAATACTAATATGCTAGTCGACATTTAAATTGGAATATATTGCAATAACTTTTAGGCATTCTTACTTTTACTCTTATTTCATTTAAAAATTCTTAAAATAGTTTAAACGTTACTTAAAGATATTCAATTTTATGTTTTTGATTACAGGACCCTTCCTACTTCGACGAATATCGCAATGGTATTTTCTCTGCAACACTGGCACTTGAAAACGACTTTTTCAAAGATAGTGTAAAAAACTTTATAGAAGTACTTAAATCTAATCCAAAACTGACACAGTATGTACCATACTTCCAAGCATTGGATAAAGACGTTCTACGCAAATGCAAAGACACCTATAATGAGTACCGCAACAATCCACAAGAAAGCGCTTTCTATGTTTTATGTCACGGAGACTTTCACAACAAAAATTTGATGCTCAAACACAATACCAAAACCGGCAGTTTGGAGGATGTTATGTTGCTGGACTTTCAGTTTTGTTATTTTGGACCAATCGCCAATGATTTGTTGTATTCATACTATATGCTTCTGAATGCTGAGCAACGTCAAAATAATTATAATGAATTGCTTTATCATTATTACAAGGAATTTGTTCAAGTTTTGAAAAAAGTGGACTTTAAGGGACCCAAACTTACACTGGCTGCATTAAAGGAACAAATTTATAGTCATAAGCATTTTGGTAAGTTATGTGAACTATTATGTTGAACTGCTTATATATTCCAACTTATATATACATTTTATATATATGTGACATTCTATGTACAATACTAATATAAAATATTTTTGTAGAACTTTTCTTGATGGTCGCTTTCTTGCCGATGTGGTACAAATTCCAAAAAGGCAGCCTGGATGCTGGTGATTTAATGGTTTCAGCTGAAGTACGTGCAAATATGCTTCAAAATGATGACTATCTTAAAGAAATTGAAATACTTCTGCCACGATATTTACATTTAGGTTATTTTGAAGATTTGACAGACGATGCTAAAAATGATTAACTGCTTTTGATAATGTACTTTTATATAGAAGCATATTTATAAGTACACCTTTATAAGTATTATATATAGTAGTAGTTCAACTTCAATACTTATTTAGTGAAAGATTTTATTTAATTGTAATTTAACGTTAGTTATGACGGTAATTACTTAATGACAGTAGAAACTATTGTATTTGTTAGAGAGGTTTCAAAAAGTAGTAAACCACATATATTTTATAAAATATACATTACACATATATGTGTCAAGTACCTGCAACTGCCAAAATTTATATGTAATTAATATAAGGCGTGAAATATAATTAATGCTATATAAACTTATATATATCTATAAATTAATATATGGATGTTAATAATAGGCTTAGAAGTAAGTATCTATTGTACCTATTATAAATTTAAATAAATTTGAAAGCTCATAACCCAACACGAAAAATATTGTAATATCATTATTTCCTTATATATCCATATAAATGTATAGTAAATATTAAAATATACTATTTGATTGTTTTTCTTTTTGTATATATGCATTTGTATAGTTAGAATAATTTAGCGATATTTAATTATTTTAATAAAGTAAAATTTTTTCCTGTTACTTGTCATTATGCATATATACATACAAAAATTTCTATATATAGGTATATATTTATATATGTCGCTTTATTTAAATTCATAGGGTTCCATGAAACGCACCCCTACATTGTTGCTGTCATAAAAAATGAATTACTTTCTCAAATATAGGAAAGCACGTGTTGCTCCACATATGAAAAATTTATGATTATTTGTAAAAAATATTCAAAAAATATTCAAGGGGTTAAGGAAGACTCCTAAAATATTCCGGAGTGATTTGTTCGCTGTTGTGACAAATTGTTGACTTCTTTGGATCCTCAACTTACATTTCACAATAAATGAAACCATTTTAACGTGTGAACTTAACAAAGAATTGCGAAACAAATAGAAAAAAATATTTAAAAAATTCATTGAATAAATAAAAATTTTTAAATTTCACATAAAAAACAAATTTAATTTAATAGAATATAAAAAGTGTTGTGTAAGAAATTTGAGTGTCTCGATAACATTTAAAAATAATGCTTAAGTGATTTATAAATTGCTAAACTTAAGTATTTTGCAAATAATTGGCTTCAAAATATTGGATTCTGAATGTTAAAATGTTATTCAACACTGTGGAACTTATTGTAATAAATGGTCTTTACAATAATAAATGGCATTTATTACAATACGACGTTCGATATAAGCAATGCAATTATTTTTCAGTTAAGTTGTAAACCCAAGTTTATTACAAATAAAAATCAATTATAGTGGAAATTTTTACTCAGGTTTTTTAAATATATAATTCTCTATACTGTTGATATGACATTGGTTACTCAATATTCACATTTTCGTCACTGTCTAAGCAGTGCTTGAAGATATAAACAAATATAAACCTCATAGAATTAAAATATTTATAAATGAATACCTTTGCAATAGAAGAAATAATTAATAATTTTAAGTAATCTGCTGAAGAGAAATTTTTAAGTATTAAAATAACTAGACCAACCGCTGATATGAAGAAGTAGGGGACTAAAGTAAAAATTCCAGTCGATGGTAAATTGCTGTTTTCCTACACTTTAACGGCTAAAATCTATAGACGACAGGTTGATAGCATGTAAATCCATTTTTTTGTTAAGGCATGTTTCCTGTTTGCTTGCCTAAAAATTATAACTGTGTCGTGTCTTTGGGGGTTTGGCGAAGTAAATCACTTAAGTGCAAATATTGCACGACATGGAAAAAATGTAGCCCTGTTAAACTACAAGCTGTGATTAAAAAAAATTGATTTGAAAAAGAATTAATTTAGTATTAGATGTTAAAAAATATAAGCATTCAATAAATTTTTTTTTTTCTTTTTTTTATTATTATCTTCTTTTTTTTATTAAATCTTCTAAGAATCAACTTAGAACTAACAATAAATTATCCCTAATTGCAGTAGTAAACGAAAGAAAATATATCGGACATTATTCTCCAATAACCGGGCTGATAAAGTTCCTTTTGAGTCGTTGGGTTCCAGTACTTTGGGTTAGATTGGTTGAAGGTATATTTAGGTAATTATTGATTTTGCCTGTGTACTTTTGTGTATTGCTGACAATTACATCTGTGACTGTGATAATTCAAAAATCTCTATGTATATTCGTGTTTCTAATACACCAGAGGGCAACGCCTACTTGCCGAAGGATTTTCAATTGATCTCTTTAGAGTTTTTCAATGTTTGATAAAGAAACAGAGCTCCAGAGTTCAGTTCCGTAGGTCCACATAAGTTTTATAATTGTATTGTTAAATAGCACTTTACTTGTGAAATTAAATTTAAAGGTTTTGTAAATTAGCCAGTTAAGTTATTGTGCTTTTCTATGTGCTTTTTTCACGTAAGTCTTCGGTCCAGATGCATTCCCAAGTATTTTGTGTCATTGCATTGTGGTATTACTTTTTCTTAAATACATGGAGTAGAGGAGGTATTTCGTCGAAGATTTAAAGTTTAGTGTGCACTTTTCGATTCGCTGACTTTTTCCATAGATCGTGCTATTTTTACTTATTTGTGAATGTCGTCTTATAACTCTTTCATAATCGCTCATACAATATTTTTACAATATGTACACAGTTTGATAATCACTGACCCCTGATATAATGTCAATAAATTTTTCAAAGAATTTCGAGACATTCACTTTGGCAACACCACGTTTACAATTTCTTCCTTTCTTTCAAAAAGCATATGCTCTCTGTATCAGCTGTTTTGAACATATTAGTAACAAAACATAATTTGTGCTTGTATATTTATTTTGCAAATTTTAATTCAAATTTATTAAAATAAAAATGATTAAATTTATAATAATAGCACTTTCTACTTCAAAATCGGGCAATTGTTTAAAACATGGAAATATCAAATTTTTTTTCCAATTAAAAACAATAAAACCTACGAAGTGATGATGTTAACCTCGTAACATTTTCAACACATGCAATGAAATTGCCTCCAAGATTTTAAAGAAATTGGATGATACAATTTGCTATTTAAGGATGCGCGATTTTCTATAATAGAGTCTTGCTAACTCCACAAAACAGCAAACTTCCAAATTTTATATGAAAAATATAGGCGAAACCACTTTTGTCACTTATACATAAATTTGATATTTCAAAAAATATCAATTTGATACTCAAAATAATATAATGGTGGCAACAATAAGTACTTTTAAAATACAAAAAATGTAAGGTTTGAAACTACGAGTCTGTTGTTATTTTACTGCATAAGACATCAGTCATATCATCATAAACTCAATTAGTTACTGTAATAAGACTATCTGATCAGGAAGTTCAGGAGCGTCTTTTGAACTGCACAGATATCAACCATCACAATTCCAAATTGTGGTGGTTGTTTTGAATCGATCTACTTTCTACGACTTTCGCCAAAATTTTATAGTACAAGGATATAATAGCACAGAATTCATATAGATAAAGTTTAAACTGCGAAACCCCAACCTTAAAAAATGAACACGCCACATCTTATGCTCAAAAAAATGGGCACAAATTATAATTAATTATTCGCGTCAATTAGAAACACTCAGCAAGAAAGGTGATACCTCGCCACTGGTACCAATTGCCATAGCTCAGGAAAAATAGCTTATTGTGAAGCTCTAGTCAATACTGACTACGTCAGACTATATTAGAGATATGAGATAAAAAAGTGGTGATAATTAAAAATTAAAGTGATTATCCCATCGAATAAATGGATTAGTACCAAATAGCGTAAAGTTTATACTATAAGCTTGAAAAGCTAATAGAGATAAACAGAATTTTTATCGCAACTTTTAAACACAAGTAACATTGTCTAGAAATGATGTATTTTAAATAAAGTTCTTTGAATTTACTTTGAAAAAGTTAAGACATAATAAAAATGTACAAATGAGAAACACATCTGTAAAGAGATTCTGTATAGAGTCCAACGATATCAAGCAACAACTATAGTCAATATGATGGTCTTAAGATTAAAATGTAGTTATCTTATATCAGTAATGCAAAAATTAAATATTTGGCTATAAGCCCAAAACTATTATATATGCAAGTTTAATTAATATCTCAGCATTTTTGTTGACACTTTCAAAAACATTTGTAATTATAAAACCTAAAGCTCATCGGTAATCAAATGCTTAACCCACAATGAATATACAGACACAAATCGCTGCTGCTTTTAGGTTAGAATCCTTGATTTTGTATTCAATAACGAATGACTATGTTTATTTCTCATAAAAAATTTTTATGAAAAAAAAGATAATTATGAATTACACAAAAATATTTATCGGCACACATTTCACAAATTATATTTGAAACCACAAATTCTAAAATATTTTAAATTTTGCAATATAGACTGTATCTTCTAATTATAAATCTATAATCAGCAACCAGCAATTGTTGCACACATTCCAAGACAATACTAAACGCTATTTTTCATTCTAGTGACTTTCTTGTTGAATGACATGTTTTCATCACAAATCAATTCAAAAGTCACAAGAATTTCACGTATTTGTACATAGGGAATGTGAGATGAAATTAAAATTCTTACTGACTGAGAACAGATAACGTTAGATACATTCGTTTGTACTTTAGCTACAATGCTTGTACTACAAATTATCTTTAAAAATGTTTACAACCGCAATTGTACATACGTAATATGTGAGTATCATCGCACCAATAAATTAATTTAAAAATATAATTATAAAATTTGTTTAAAATTTTTTTTTAAAGTCACTTCGTTTCAAAACTTCTGATATTTTGCCTATTCATTGCATTAAGTTGCGAAATTACTAATCAAATCTCACGCTCAGTCGCCGACGATTTCAAGTTCTCTTACGAGCCGCAGATAAGATAATTAAAATAATTAAACGTTTATATAAAATATAAATTAATTAAACTTATAGTTAAAAGCGTGCCAGTTAAAATACATTAATATGTGTACGAAACACAAACTAGTATGTATATTATTATTATATATACGATTTAAAAAAAAATTTTTTTTTTATCAAGCTAAAAAACATCAACTTTTATAAAAATTTTGTATAAAATAACAAATGTACGAGTATATATAAATGGACTTTTATTAAACGAATTGCTTTCTAGAGTATCAGTCGCAAAGCAGTTGACGAGTCGCGAAATAGTATTATTATTTTTTTAACATTAATATGGCACCAGTAACAGAAGTGTATAATCCCGATGAATTGGAAGCACCACAATGGTTGAATGGAGACTTCTTAGCAAAAGTCCTTAAGGAATGTGAAGGGGACAGTGCAATTGTCATCAAAAACCACAAACTCACACCAGCAACAGTACGAGGTGATCATTATGCCAGTGTCATGTTCAGAGCACGGGTTGACTATGAACAAAATGGTGAAACCAAGTCTAAATCCTTGATTATAAAAACAATGCCAGAAGAGAATGGAAATAAAAAAGACTTTTTGCAAGAATCTCAAATATTTGAAACTGAGATCGGAATGTACAGTGAAGTGGTACCAAGATTTGAGAAAATTTTGCGTTCAGTTGGTGCAGAGACGGTATTGGGTGCAAAGTGAGCTTGCTTTTAATATGATTTAATATGATTTTTTGGCTGACTGAGAATGTTTCTACTTTTAGGTGCTTGTATTACAGTTTAAGTCCAAAGAAAATTATTGTATTCGAAGATCTGGTGACAAAAGGCTATTCTGTTCTACGGCACCGTCTACCTACATTGGAGGAAGCTAAATTGTCTTACTTGAAGTTAGCCAGATGGCATGCTGTAAGCTATAAACTACTGCATGAGGTAATTGATAATTTAACTGTTATTTATATTTGTTGATCCTATGTATTCATGATTTGATTTCTTAAGGACACATTAGCTAAATGTTTCAAAATTTTGAAAAAAATATATAAATACTAATTATTTTTGATCAAATTATTTTAATAATTTATATTTCATCGATATTTCGACTTCAGTCTAAAGTTTTTCTGATAATAACTTCAGACTAAAGTCGAAATACCGATGAAATAAAAATTTGAAAAAAAAAAACTAAATTTATTTTACAACAATAATTGAATTTGACCAATTAGCCTGCAAAAACACTTCAAAAAAACTATTATTAATTTAGATAAGGATTTTTTAATAAAATTTTCTCACTACTTGTCATCATTAAGGAATATTTAAATTATGGACATGATACCTTTTAAATATTATAATATCAATATTTAAAAATCATTTATACCGCTAAGATCTTCGAATTCGAATAAAAATCTTGAAAAAAGAATTTATACTTATATCAAATTTTATAAAATAGCTAAATTATAAACTGATTTTTTAGTTGAAAAAGCAGATTATTTTATTTATTTTACTAAACTTTAAATAGTTAAAATACAGTATAATAATTTTATAATGCAAATATATAATACGTTGTGAAAATATAATATAAAAATATAATAATATCAAAAATACATTTGTGAAAATTTAATTAATAATAGTTATATTTCTTAATAAAATTTATAATTTTTTAAAAAAAATTTATAATATTTGAAAATGAATCTTTTTAAAGTATTTTTAAATAGTTTCATGAAAAAAAATATATATATATCATATAGATATATCAAGATATATCAAAATATATATTAGTATTATCTTACACATCTTATTTAAAAATATTTTATTTCCTACTATCATTTTACAGGAACCTTCTTACTTCGATAACTATCGTTATGGCCTCATGTCCTTAACTAATATGGTGGAGTCTGATTTTTTTAGCAAAGGCATCAATCTCTTTATAGAGTTATTGGACAGAACACCTACTTTGATGAAATATAAGTCTTATTTTGAATCTATACAAAAGGATTTGCTAAAAGATTGTAAAGAAAGTTTCAATGAATATCGCGCTGATAAACAAAATAATACCGACTATGTGCTATGCCACGGCGACTTTCACAGTAAAAATATGATGTTCAAGAACAATGAAAAGAGTGGCAAGTTTGAGGATTTGCTGTTACTAGACTTTCAAATGTCATATGTTGGTCCTATTGTTAATGATATAATTTATTCTTACTACATGTTATTAACACCCGAGTTGCGTTTGAACAAATTTGATGAGCTGTTATACTACTATTACACAAATTTCAGGGATACTTTGAAGAAGATTGGTTATAATGGCACTGCACCGAAATTAGGTGAGCTGCGGTCGCAAATAGTAAAACAGAAAAAATTTGGTAAGTAAATATTAAATTTTTCAATTCTTATATATTCAGTATTATATTAGTAAAAATATTCATTAGTTTTACGTATTTAAATTTAAATTAAATTTTTTTTTATTGCAGAATTGTTTATGTTAACCACATTTTTACCGATGTGGTGTGTCTTTGTGGTAGGAAAAGCCGATCCGGACGAGATGGTTGTTTCTGAAGATTCTCGAAGAAGTTTATATAAAAACGAAGATTATATCAAAGAACTCCATGATCTGCTGCCGAAATATTTACACATGGGTTACTTTGAAAATTAGTTTATATTTTGAAACATATTATTTAAATTGGTAATAGATATAAAATTAAATAAATTCTTGAACTACACAAATTATTCAATATTTTTTGTAAGGTGTTTACTTTTGTTTTAGTTTTAACAAAATTCGCTTAGTCTTCTTCTGCAGATTATATGGATATTTATCTCAAAGAATATATAAGATATTAAAGCAGAAAAAAAAAATTAAAATTATATTGGAAATGTGTCTAATTACAATATATAGTCATTCTTTATATGAAAAAATTGCACTTAAAATAAATTAATAAATATTTTTTAAAACTTTAGTTTTCTGCTATATCCATGATGTGATTATTCTTATATTTTATCAAACACAGATTACTATATCTAAAAGATGAAGAAATGCTTTAATCGTAGGTAACTAAAAACGTTGTATAATGTTATCTTTGGATTAAATAGAATGAGATGCAAAGATATTTAAGCTAAACAAATAACACATAGTTATCTTAATAATATAACTGGTACTTTTGTCTTCGAGAATTAACTGAAAGTCTCTTCAGTATTTATATGATCAAAATATAAACTAAATTATTATTATCACAACAACTAGTAGGTTTCTCTTAATAAAATTTCAAAAAGAATGTTAGAATTATAATTAAGTATTTAAAAAATCAATTACCCACAAGATTCGTTTATTCACCTTGAAATTATTTGTAATTTATAATTTACAATTATTTACAAGGTAATTTAACTATTTGAGTACTTGTTTAAAGTTGTTAATAATAGCATATTTGTATTTTTTATTTCAAAATTGCTCACTCAATACAAAACTTCTCCCGTTTAGTACTAAAATTCTCATAATATTCTCAATAGCAGCAGATAAGATACTAACAATAATGAAGCGACACTAAACACTGTCTGTTTACATTTATATAAAACCTAAACTAAATAAGAGTTTGACTAAAAGTGCTCACGAATTAAATGAAAAACTTGCACTCGAGATATGCATATAATATAAGTATTGAAAAATCTATTACAAACATACATGTTGGCATTATTATCAGCAAATATTTTTATATATTTATTTTGCTAACAATTTTCACTAAAATGAGAAACACAAGTTTAAGTAGATTCAAGTTTATACAAAACGAACTATTTTGAAACAAGTCAGTCGTATAACCAACTCAGTGATATTAAGTACATTTATTTTTTGAAACGGAATATGGAAACAGAAAATCTCGTCTATAATACCGACGAACTGGAAGCACCGCAATGGTTGAATGCAGATTTTTTAGCAAAAGTGCTTAAGGAATATGAAGGGGACAGTGCAATTACCATTAAAAACTACAAAATCACACCAGCAACAGTACGAGGTGATCATTATGCCAGTGTCATGTTCAGGGCAGAAGTTGACTATGTACAGACCGGACGGTCAACAACCAAGTCAATGATTATTAAAACAATGCCAGAAGAGGATGGCAGTAAAAAGGAGTTATTGCAAGAAACTCATATATTTGAAACAGAGATCGGAGTATATAGTGAAGTGATACCAAGGATGGAAAAAATCTTACGTGCAGTTGGTGATAATACAGTGTTGGGAGCAAAGTGCGTTCTTTTCATTATAAAGTTTTTTGTATATATATAAAGTACGTTTTTTTTTATTGGTTTCTTATTATTTGTGTTTCTAGATACCTGTATTATAGTTTGAGTCCAAGAAAGGTTATTGTTTTTGAGGATCTCGTGACTGTTGGCTACAATGTTCTGCGTCAACGTTTGCCCACTATGGAGGAAGCTAAAATGACGTATCTGAAATTAGCCAAATGGCACGCCGTGAGCTATAAGTTGTTGCAGGAGGTAATGCTAACTCAAAATATTTAATAATATTAGTATGAAAGATTAGATAAATAAGATTAGATTTGTATAGTGGCTCTCTGTTTGCATTTTTAAGCAACAATCATGCCTTGTTTGCAGTACAAAGTTAGAGAAAGTAAAACATAAAAATAATAAACAATAATTGCATTTCTCCGTTAGTTAAGAACAAAATATGACATAATCATAACAACCGTCTGTCAGATGTTAAGTATAAGTAAATTGCTAATTAAGAAAACTTCTAAATATAATTACTTTTTCCGCAATATTAAATACTTTTTGTATTCTACATCATTGCTTTTTAATAATATCTTCGTTGAAAATCTTTCAGTACTCGGCATCTTTACATTAAATGTTGAAAAGCTTCTACTTCATATTGATTTTAATATACATAGTATGCTTTCTTCAAAAATAGCTACAAAATAATGTGATTGCATTATTTACTAGTTATGTTATGTTGAACCTTTTTCGAGTTGTTGCATCTGGACACTTTTACTCTATGATGGCTGTGGGGTTTTTGCAGAGTCCCACCCATCTCACTGACTAATTTGAGTATTCCTCATATTCCTCATATTCTTCATATTCCTCATATTCTCATTCCTCATATTCTGATTACTCTGAGATTAGATAGTGATAATTAGGGCAGCCTGTCGGTTTTCGCATATAACTTCAGAGCTCTGTCCCTTATATATTTTTTGATCGGATCTATTCTAAGGTCTCTTAACATGTCATTCGTAACATGACACACCCATAAAGTAGTGCTGGTCTGATTATCTGGCTATAGAAAGCATTCTGTTCTTCGCGCTGAGGTTATTGTATTTGAAAAGTGGTTGTAAACAGTGCAGCGTTTTTGTGCAGTTACTTCTTTTGACTTATATGTGCTTGTGCCAAGTGAACCACTTATTAAACGTGATCCCTAAGTATTTAATGCTGTCCTCCTAATTAATCACGATGTCACCAACTCTCACTCTCGGTGGATGTTGCCTGTGTTTACTAGTATGAGTAGTATCATAGTCTTCTCCATTCATATGAAGATAGTTTCATACTTAATTCGCAACAGTAATTTTTGATAAATTAAGTGAATCTGTTCACTTATATGCTTAAGTAACTTCAAATTTTCTTCTGCAACTTATGGATACAATAAAATTAATTATAATTACAATTAGCAACCAGTAATTGTTGCACACATTGCAAGAGAATATTAAACGTTATTTTTCATTCTAGTGACTTTCTTGTTGAATGACATGTTTTCATCACAAATCAATTCAAAAGTCACAAGAATTTCTCGTATTTGCACATAGGGAATGTGAGATGAAATTAATATTCTTACTGACTGAGAACAGATAACGTTAGATACATTTGTTAGTACTTTAGCTACAATGCCTGTACTAAAAATTATCTTTAAAAATGTTTACAACCTCAATTATACATACGTAATATGTGAGTATCACCGCACCAATAAATTAATTTAAAAATATAATTATAAAATTTATTTAAAATTTTTTTTTAAAGGCACTTCGTTTCAAAACTTCTGATATTTTGCCTATTCGTTGCATAAAGTTGCGAAATTACTAATCAAATCAACGATTTCAAGTTTTCTTACGAGCCGCAGATAAGATAATTAAAATAATTAAGCGTTCAAAAAAATATAAATTAATTAAGCTTATAGTTAAAAGCGTGCCAGTTAAAATACATTAATATGTGTACGAAACACAAACTAGTATGTATATTATTATTATATATACGATTTAAAAAAAAATTTTTTTTTTATCAAGCTAAAAAACATCAACTTTTATAAAAATTTTGTATAAAATAACAAATGTACGAGTATATATAAATGGACTTTTATTAAACGAATTGCTTTCTAGAGTAACAGTCGCAAAGCAGTTGACGAGTCGCGAAATAGTATTATTATTTTTTTTAAATTAATATGGCACCAGTAACAGAAGTGTATAATCCCGATGAATTGGAAGCACCACAATGGTTGAATGGAGAGTTCTTAACAAAAGTCCTTAAGGAATGTGAAGGGGACAGTGCAATTGTCATCAAAAACTATAAACTCACACCAGCAACATTACGAGGTGATCATTATGCCAGTGTCATGTTCAGAGCACGGGTTGACTATGAACAAAATGGTGAAACTAAGTCTAAATCCTTGATTATAAAAACAATGCCAGAAGAGAATGGAAATAAAAAAGACTTTTTGCAAGAATCTCAAGTATTTGAAACTGAGATCGGAATGTACAGTGAAGTGGTACCAAGATTTGAGAAAATTTTGCGTTCAGTGGGTGCAGAGACGGTATTGGGTGCAAAGTGAGCTTGCTTTTAATATGATTTAATATGATTTTTTGGCTGACTGTGAATGTTTCTACTTTTAGGTGCTTGTATTACAGTTTAAGTCCAAAGAAAATTATTGTATTCGAAGATCTGGTGACAAAAGGCTATTCTGTTCTACGACATCGTCTACCTACAATGGAGGAAGCTAAATTGTCTTACTTGAAGTTAGCCAGATGGCATGCTGTAAGCTATAAACTACTGCATGAGGTAATTGATAATTTAACTATTATTTATATTTGTTGATCCTATTTATTCATGATTTGATTTCTTAAGGACACATTAGCTAAATGTTTCAAAATTTTTAAAAAAATATATAAATACTAATTATTTTTGACCAAACTATTTTAATAATTTCTATTTCATGGATATTTCGACTTCAGTCTAAAGTTTTTCTGATAATAACTTCAGACTAAAGTCGAAATACCGGTGAAATAAAAATTTAAAAAAATTAAAATAAAATTTGTTTTACAGCAATAATTAGAATTGACAAATAAACCTGCAAAAGCACTTCAAAAAAATTATTATTAATTTAGAAAAGGAGTTTTTAATAAAGTTTTCTCACTACTTGTAATCATCAATGAATATTTAAATTATAGACATGAAACCTTTTTAGGTATTATAATATTAATATTTAAAAATCATTTATACCGCTAAGTTCTTCGAATTCGAATAAAAATCTTGAATAAAGAATTTATACTTATATCAAATTTTATAAAATAGCTAAATTATAAACTGATTTTTTAGTTGAAAAAGCAAATTATTTTATTTATTTTACTAAACTATAAATAGTTAAAATACAATATAATAATTTTATAATGCAAATATATAATATGTTGTGAATATAATATAAAAATATAATAATATCAAAAATACATTTATGAAAATTTAATTAATAATAGTTATATATCTTAATAAAATTTTCAACATTTTTTATAAAAAATTTATAATATTTGAAAATGAATCTTTTTAAAATCTTTTTAAATAGTTTAATGAAAAATATGTACAAATATATCTTAGTATTATCTTACACATCTTATTTAATATTTTATTTCCTATTATCATTTTACAGGAACCTTCCTACTTCGAGCACTATCGTTATGGCCTCATGTCCATAACTAACATGGTGGAGAATGATTTTTTTAGCAAAGGCATCAATCTCTTTATAGAATTATTGGATAGAACACCTACTTTGATAAAATATAAGTCTTATTTTGAATCAATTCAAAAGGATTTGCTAAAAGATTGTAAAGAAGGTTTCAATGAATATCGCGCTGATAAACAAAATAATACCGACTATGTGCTATGCCACGGCGACTTTCACAGTAAAAATATGATGTTCAAGAACAATGAAAAGAGTGGCAAATTTGAGGATTTGCTGTTACTGGACTTTCAAATGTCATATGTTGGTCCTATTGTTAATGATATAATTTATTCTTGCTACTTGTTATTAACACCTGAGTTGCGTTTGAATAAATTTGATGAGCTTTTATACTACTATTACACAAATTTCAGGGATACTTTGAAGAAGATTGGTTATAAAGGCACAGCACCGAAATTAGTTGAGCTGAGATCGCAAATAGTAAAACAGAAAAAATTTGGTAAGTAAATATTAAATTTTGAAATTCTTATATATTCAGTTTTATATTAGTAAAAATATTCATGAGTTTTACGTATTTAAATTTAAATTAAATTTTTTCTTTATTGTAGAATTTTTTATGTTAACCACATTTTTGCCGATGTGGTGTATCTATGTGGTAGGAAAAGTCGATCCGGACGCGATAGTTGTTTCTGAAGATACTCGAAGAAGTTTATATAAAAACGAAGATTATATCAAAGAACTCCATGATCTGCTGCCGAAATATTTACACATGGGTTACTTTGAAAATTAGTTTAAATTTCGAAACATATTGTTTAAATTGGTAATAGATGTAAAATAAAATAAATTCTTGAACTACACAAATTATTCAATATTTTTTGTAAGGTGTTTACTTTTGTTTTAGTTTTAACAAAATTCGCTTAGTCTTCTTCTGCAGATTATATGGATATTTATCTCAAAGAATATATAAGATATTAAAGCAGAAAAAAAAAATTAAAATTATATTGGAAATGTGTCTAATTACAATATATAGTCATTCTTTATATGAAAAAATTGCACTTAAAATAAATTAATAAATATTTTTTAAAACTTTAGTTTTCTGCTATATCCATGATGTGATTATTCTTATATTTTATCAAACACAGATTACTATATCTAAAAGATGAAGAAATGCTTTAATCGTAGGTAACTAAAAACGTTGTATAATGTTATCTTTGGATTAAATAGAATGAGATGCAAAGATATTTAAGCTAAACAAATAACACATAGTTATCTTAATAATATAACTGGTACTTTTGTCTTCGAGAATTAACTGAAAGTCTCTTCAGTATTTATATGATCAAAATATAAACTAAATTATTATTATCACAACAACTAGTAGGTTTCTCTTAATAAAATTTCAAAAAGAATGTTAGAATTATAATTAAGTATTTAAAAAATCAATTACCCACAAGATTCGTTTATTCACCTTGAAATTATTTGTAATTTATAATTTACAATTATTTACAAGGTAATTTAACTATTTGAGTACTTGTTTAAAGTTGTTAATAATAGCATATTTGTATTTTTTATTTCAAAATTGCTCACTCAATACAAAACTTCTCCCGTTTAGTACTAAAATTCTCATAATATTCTCAATAGCAGCAGATAAGATACTAACAATAATGAAGCGACACTAAACACTGTCTGTTTACATTTATATAAAACCTAAACTAAATAAGAGTTTGACTAAAAGTGCTCACGAATTAAATGAAAAACTTGCACTCGAGATATGCATATAATATAAGTATTGAAAAATCTATTACAAACATACATGTTGGCATTATTATCAGCAAATATTTTTATATATTTATTTTGCTAACAATTTTCACTAAAATGAGAAACACAAGTTTAAGTAGATTCAAGTTTATACAAAACGAACTATTTTGAAACAAGTCAGTCGTATAACCAACTCAGTGATATTAAGTACATTTATTTTTTGAAACGGAATATGGAAACAGAAAATTTCGTCTATAATACCGACGAACTGGAAGCACCGCAATGGTTGAATGCAGATTTTTTAGCAAAAGTGCTTAAGGAATATGAAGGGGAAAGTGCAATTACCATTAAAAACTACAAAATCACACCAGCAACAGTACGAGGTGATCATTATGCCAGTGTCATGTTCAGGGCAGAAGTTGACTATGTACAGACCGGACGGTCAACAACCAAGTCAATGATTATTAAAACAATGCCAGAAGAGGATGGCAATAAAAAGGAGTTATTGCAAGAAACTCATATATTTGAAACAGAGATCGGAGTATATAGTGAAGTGATACCAAGGATGGAAAAAATCTTACGTGCAGTTGGTGATAATACAGTGTTGGGAGCAAAGTGCGTTCTTTTCATTATAAAGTTTTTTGTATATATATAAAGTACGTTTTTTTTTATTGGTTTCTTATTATTTGTGTTTCTAGATACCTGTATTATAGTTTGAGTCCAAGAAAGGTTATTGTTTTTGAGGATCTCGTGACTGTTGGCTACAATGTTCTGCGTCAACGTTTGCCCACTATGGAGGAAGCTAAAATGACGTATCTGAAATTAGCCAAATGGCACGCCGTGAGCTATAAGTTGTTGCAGGAGGTAATGCTAACTCAAAATATTTAATAATATTAGTATGAAAGATTAGATAAATAAGATTAGATTTGTATAGTGGCTCTCTGTTTGCATTTTTAAGCAACAATCATGCCTTGTTTGCAGTACAAAGTTAGAGAAAGTAAAACATAAAAATAATAAACAATAATTGCATTTCTCCGTTAGTTAAGAACAAAATATGACATAATCATAACAACCGTCTGTCAGATGTTAAGTATAAGTAAATTGCTAATTAAGAAAACTTCTAAATATAATTACTTTTTCCGCAATATTAAATACTTTTTGTATTCTACATCATTGCTTTTTAATAATATCTTCGTTGAAAATCTTTCAGTACTCGGCATCTTTACATTAAATGTTGAAAAGCTTCTACTTCATATTGATTTTAATATACATAGTATGCTTTCTTCAAAAATAGCTACAAAATAATGTGATTGTATTATTTACTAGTTATGTTATGTTGAACCTTTTTCGAGTTGTTGCATCTGGACACTTTTACTCTATGATGGCTGTGGGGTTTTTGCAGAGTCCCACCCATCTCACTGACTAATTTGAGTATTCCTCATATTCCTCATATTCTTCATATTCCTCATATTCTCATTCCTCATATTCTGATTACTCTGAGATTAGATAGTGATAATTAGGGCAGCCTGTCGGTTTTCGCATATAACTTCAGAGCTCTGTCCCTTATATATTTTTTGATCGGATCTATTCTAAGGTCTCTTAACATGTCATTCGTAACATGACACACCCATAAAGTAGTGCTGGTCTGATTATCTGGCTATAGAAAGCATTCTGTTCTTCGCGCTGAGGTTATTGTATTTGAAAAGTGGTTGTAAACAGTGCAGCGTTTTTGTGCAGTTACTTCTTTTGACTTATATGTGCTTGTGCCAAGTGAACCACTTATTAAACGTGATCCCTAAGTATTTAATGCTGTCCTCCTAATTAATCACGATGTCACCAACTCTCACTCTCGGTGGATGTTGCCTGTGTTTACTAGTATGAGTAGTATCATAGTCTTCTCCATTCATATGAAGATAGTTTCATACTTAATTCGCAACAGTAATTTTTAATAAATTGAGTGAAACTGTTCACTTATATGCTTAAGTAACTTCAAATTTTCTGCTGCAACTTATGGATACAATATTAAAATGAGCATTTACCATTATTTTGCATAAATTAAGAAAAACTGCTTTATACCAACTAATAATTTTCCTAACTGTTCTTAAAAAATTACTTTTGTAAATATAAGGAATTGGCTATAAACTAATTAGGTCTTAAACTAACAACTGTAGCGACACTTCTGAAATACCCCCATAAATGCATATCTTTATAAAATTATATAGTTTCAGTGTAGTTAAGAAGTATAAAAAAATTTAAAAATATTTTATGGAAAATTTCTAAATATAATTTAAATTAACTTGTAACAACAATTTTACGCAGAGCATTAACCACTTTTGATCATATCTTACTACCTATCGGGACATTCTGAGCCCAATATTATTAAATGTTTTTTTATTTATTATTAAGTTTTGATTTTTTACTATCTTACAGAATCCTACACATTTTGATAAATATCGTTATAGTATCATGACCCTTACGAATTTTGTAGAATCCGACTTCTTCATTAAAGGCATTGACTTGTTTATAGAGCTTTTGAGTGAAGTACCAACTTTAAGGAAATATAAGTCTTATTTTGAATCCATACAGCAGGATTTAATACAAGATTGTAAAGATATTTTTACACAATATACAGATAAAAAACCAAGCAATACTGACTACGTGCTTTGTCATGGAGATTTTCATTGCAAAAATATGATGTTTAAACACAACCCCGAGAGTGGAAAATTGGAAGACTTAATGCTGCTCGACTATCAAGTGTCGTATGTTGGATCACTCGTTAATGACATTATTTACTCATACTTTTTAATATTGAATCCAGATATGCGTTTGAATCACTTTGACGAAATGCTCTATTATTACTTTAAAAACTTTACGGAAACTTTGACAAAAATTGGTTACAAGGGAAAGGTGCCAAAGTTAGAAGAGATTAGATCGCAAATAATGAAACATAAGAAATTTGGTGAGTACCAATTGTTTATTGGTTTTATTGGTTTTATTTATTTTTTAAGTTTGTAATATCTTGATTTTACTGTTATATTTAATATAATTTTATTTTTTTAATTTATTCGCTGTCTCTTCTTTTCATACTCCAGAACTGTTTCTTCTAACGACAATGTTGCCTATGTGGTATGTCTTTTTTGTTGGCGAAATTGATCCTGATGAAATGATAGAATCGGAAGATGCTCGAAAAAATGTGTATCGAAATAAAGACTATATCAAAGAATTACATAATTTACTACCCAGATACATGCATTTAGGTTATTTTGAAAATTAGAAAAATTGTGGCAGTTTGTTATAATAACAAAAAAAAAATTAAATAATTTTACTATACCAGAACTAAAATAATTTTATTTTTATATGAAGAAACAAAACTGTAATCTTGCAAAATGGTTTAGTAGGTTTGATTATAAAACAAGAAAATGTATCAATTTAATCTAACCAGTCGAAAATGGATAACGTCACAAAGCTGAAACCTGTTCAATGAAATCATCTAGCGATTTAAAAAATCCATAGTGCTTTTTCCAGCAAATGGTAGACTGAATTCTGACAGACAGTCAAGCAGCCGTCCAAGTTAATACAGCCGTGTATATGTTATCCAATATAGTTTGTAATTTTCCACTTCCGAAAGTAGTATAAGGTAGCGTTTCCAAGGAAATACGTTTTGAATTCCGGGTAACGTAGATATAGACAAAAAACAGAACATGGTGATGAATTGCTGAGACTTGAAAATATTTTCATAGAAATACCAGTATTAATTTCTTTAATGTTTGTTCATAAGAAGGTTTATCTAAAGTGATGTCTTATAAAAGACCAACAGGTCTTACTTCAAAAGACAGATCAAGAAGACATGATGTAGATATTCCAAAGTTAGAACATCAGACTTTATTTGCCGGTATACAATAAAAATATATAGAATACTGTCGACTTTTGCAAGATGTTGTTCTATCAAAACTCGTAAAAGCATGAAAAATGGGTACTGCAATTCCGTATTTTTATATTCACTTTACTTTCAACTTAAAAATCAGTCCAATTCTTCCGCATGTCAAAGCGTCCAGTTGTTTGTAAAATACCCAAACTTTTTCCAAAATAATT